GATGCGAGCGCTCCGCTGCTGCTGCGGCCCTACATGCGGCCTCTCTAAAAAGTTTGGGATTTTCGCTGCTGCTGTCAAAACTGTTTTCTACACATGCTAGCGCAACGCAGTGTCGTGGATCTGTGTTTGCGCGCCCGCGCTCATCCAGACATGCTTTGGTTTAGAAAAAGTCTGATCTGTAACAAGCTCTAGATAAGAGAGATCAACTTTGTGGATTTTTCTGACGTTAATACCACGAGGAAGAGGAAATAAAATAAAAATGCTGACTGCAATTAGAAGCTGAGCTGTTGTAAGTCAGAGAGTTTTGGCCCTCAATCCAGTTCCAGAATTCAGGTTTGGTCCAAATGACTGTTTTACTTTTATATGGAATATTTTGGAGGAATATTACCATGGAAAGAGAAGTGCAAGAGCAGCTCAGATCCTGGCAGTCAGGGCAGAAGAATGTTACAGAAGAACAGGATTTACTTGGAGGGACCGTTTAACCTTGAAAGAGAAGATAACAGATGTCAAGACAATTCATAACTGCGTATGAAACACTGCACTAGTGGAGCACAATGATCCACCCAGTGCAGAGAGTAATCCATGATGAGGGCATGATTGGTTATTTCTTGTTAATTTTTTAACAAAGGTGTAGCTACATTGGAGCTACCAGTGGCGTAAACTCCAGTGTTGTCATCTTTGCCACTGTGCCAGATTGCTGCGTCTGTGATCCTGCTGTACTTGCAGTTTGCAGTAATGACCAAAGAACAACTCTGCTGGTGCTTTACAGCCTCATGAGTGTATGCGGGGAGCAGTCTGTTCTTCTCCAACTTCCTGACAGGGAGCACTTCAATATTTCCTGACATGCATTCAGTCGCATGGCTTTCCTCTGCACTTTTCCTGAAACATCAGATACATTTTGACTTAAAAAGGACTTGATTGTATCTGTGAGTCCTCATTAGCCTTGTAGCAAATTCACAACACTACATTACTGGTACTGCATACTACTGGTCTGTCTCCAGGCAGACCTGGATAGGTTGGAGAAGTGGGCAGATCT